TCCTAGATGTAAAATTGTTTAAGACGCAGAGCCATGGCCAGGATTCAGAGGAATGGAAATCCACGCCTGCCTCTCCCATAAATCAACAACACATGGAGAAAGCCTCAGTGGTTCAGTGATGGTTGAGCAACACTTTGGAAAGGCTACTCTGCGGGGCAGTGGCCTCCAAGATACAACAACGAGTAAGATGTGGATCTGGCCCCAATTAATCTGTTAGCACTTTCTGTCTGCTAAATAAGAAATGGAATCCTGGATTTCTTAAGCACGGAAATACTGTAAACATGAAGTAATAAGTAAAAGATGGTATAGAGCAAATCATCCAGTGTCAGTATATGATACCTGCATCATAATTAGTGTATAATTGGACTGTCCTCAGAGTCACCCCCAACCCCATACAAAGAGATTAACCTGAAGACAAACCACAAATACTGATCAGTATCATCAAAATCTAACCTCTCCTACGCCAAGTGAACATGAATCCACGTTAAAAGTATCAACATAAGTCCTGGTCAGTATTTAAATTGCAGAGAAAGGCAAGTTCCTTCAGAAGTGAAACTTATTTCCATGTTATCGTTAGGGCTATTATTTGTTACTGTCATCACTGACATTATTCTCACTGTTACTATTGTCATTATTGTCATCATCATCATCATCTTTGTATAAAGGACAATCACATGCCAGGACCATGAGAAATGCTCTAGTTATATTATCTCACTTAAGGCTCACATTTATTTTGCAAATTAGCTATCTAAGGGAGCAACTGCATCCATTTTGCTCATGGGAAAACCAAGTTAAATTAATTGCTCCAGGTCACCAAGTGAATCACAGAGCCAGAGTTGGAACCGTGTGAACCCTAGGGGCATCCAGGCGGCATGTGCCATGAACTTGGACACTGCAACATCCCAAGAAGCCTCCTACCGCACCTGGTGGCCATGCTGAGCTGCGGTGGTTGCTCTCCGGTGCTATGTCCGTTGCCAGCCAAGCACTGCTCCGGCTTACTCTCCTAGAGAAGGAGAAAAGAAAGAGTCACAGAAGTACCACAGAGAAGGCGCTTGCAGGCAGCTGGTGTTTTCCCATGGGCTTCCTTAATGCAGGATCCCTGAAGGTAGACCCTTCCCCAGGGACGCCCACCCTAGCGATCGCCCCAGGAGGCTCTGGCTTTGTTTATTTCAGTGGGTCCTGATCGCTCCTTTGCTAAGAAGTATACGATTAAACCAAGAAATATTTTTGACAGAAATGAGTCTGTTATCCGTGAGTGTTTGTGGCACCAAACCAAACTCCATCATCACTGTAGCTTATGCAAACGCTTGATCAAGGGCTGCTTGGATTCTGGGGGCCTTTCAAAATATTTTCTTGAAATTGCTGATAGAAATGCTTGAAAATATTTTCATACCATATTTTGCCTGGGGAAGATGTGAAAGCATTTTCTTCTTTTCCAAGATCACATACTCTTACTAGAAAATCCTCTGTTGGTGTACTGGAAAGAACCTTGGATTTCTAAGAGAATACCTGGGCCCAGTCTTGTCTCTCTTGCTTACAAACTTTGGGCAAGTCATTTAACTGTTCAGAACTTCGCTTCCTCATCTGTGAAACAGGGGTGATATTCTCCATCTCCTAACGCTGCTATGAGGACTAAAGGAGACTCTGTGTCTGAAACACAAAGCTAGGCACACAGCAGGCAAGGAAGGACGGAGATGGGCAATGGCCCTATGGACAGAAGAGACCAGAAAGAAATGCCAAGGGACCAGGGGTAAATGACTAAATCTCTTTATCCGTGCTCGTTTCATCAGGAGATAGGTTAACAATTTCTACTACGGTCCTTTAATAAAGAAAATGAACAATACAAACAACATAATAGGGTGACTGTCTTAACATACGATTAGCATGAACTAATTTCAAATACCCTTTAGGTTTTTTAATAAGCACACAAATAACTGATATAATGTGTCCAGTTATATTTTATCTATTTATCATGTGACTTAGCCACCACTATTAGCAATTTCTTCTTAGGCTATTTCCCAAATATATATCTAACTGAAATAAGTATGTTTTAGATTTTTAAAGAAACACTTAATTTCATAATTGTTCCTTACTTTATAGCAGCACTCCACTTAATTCAAACTGGTGAGAATTTGGATATTCTACAAAGAAGTCACTGAAATATACTTCCACCGTAAATTCTAGAACATTCTGCTCTCTAGTAAGAAAACTAGAGAGGCCCTTCATGCTTTACGGCCTCTAGTATAAAGCATATATATTTGCACTCATTTGTCTGTAGCCCTTGGAGATCAGCAAAACTGATAAGAAGACCTCAGATATGCTAACAGAAAACGTCAAAGAACAACTATATCTTGATAAAACTCTTCCAGCAAATGTTTTCCCTTTCAACTAATGGCATACATAGAGTTCATGGCAGTTTATGATTAAAATAACCAATTTGACTGTTGTCCCTGTGGCTTCTTCATACTACTTTCCGAGAGTAATCAGCACACCCTCAACAAATATTTGCTGAACCCCTACTCTGGGTCCAATATGGGGGCCAAGAACACCAAAGCAAACAGAGCCATACATGGTCTCTGCCTCATGGAGTTTTGGGTCTAGACAGAAAGGAAAGGTTCATCACATAGTCACACTAGTGATTATATAATTATCAACTATGACAACATTTATGGAGGAAAAGTTCACAGGCAGAGGACAGCAGACCAGACTCATGTGCAGAGAAAGGGCTACTGGATCTGCTAGTTAGCTAAGCGAAGCAGGGGAGAGGGGTCCACAGGATACTACGTAATGAAAACAGCATGTGCAAAGCTCCCAGGGTAGAAGGTACCTCCAGCCATTGAAGCTAATGCACAGAGAGCAGAGGATGAGATTAAAGCAAAGATGAGATTAAAGAGGCAGGCAGGAGCTAGAACACACAAGCACTGTAGGTCGTGGTAAGGACACCAGCCTTCATTATAAGAGCCCTGGGGAACCACAGTAAGGCTTTAAGCAAGAAGCAACACAAATGGCAGCAGTCCCCTAAAGAGACCAATGTATCCGCAGTACAGAGAATGAAGAAGCAAGGGTGAGGATGGGTGCAAAGAGACCATCTGGAAGTACCTCTGGGAGAGATGACGGTAGTGCAAATTCGTGGGAGTGGAGCTGGAGAGACATGGACACGTCACATAAGTATTTAAGATGGAAAACTGATAGGACCTGGTGTGGGAGTGAGGCTAAAAGCATGAATCTCACCCACGGATGGACAGTGGTGCCATTTTCTGACTATGGCCCCAATGATGGAAGAACTCGCAAGGATCCCGTGAGTTCAACTCTGGAAGTGTTAAGTTTGAAATACCTTGAGGCATCCGCAGGACAATGTCTGCTTAGTTGGCTACTTGATAAATGGATGTGGAGTAGAAAAGAATGTCCGGTTTGGAGACAACAATGGAGTCATCGCATGGGCAGAAGGGAAAAGTAAGAAGTAAAAGGAGAAAAGGTGGCCTAACATGAGCTTTGAGGACCCTCCTAGAGGTGACTAAGCCAGAGCGGGAGCAGCCTGCCGGGAGGAGGAGGCCCAGGTGGACACAGGGGCCTGGGAGCCAAGCGAAGCAAGTGCTTCAAGAAATAGGAGAAGGCAACGAAGATCTTAAAGAAATCACAGGCACTCATAAGTAAGGCCAAAGCCATGGACCTTCAGACATTCCATTTCAGTGAAAGGACTCAGAGAATTAGTCAACTGCTATAAGTATATATACCTCATTAAAATTGTCCTCACAGGCAAGGTGTGGTGCCTCACGCCTGTAATGTCAATGCTTTCAGAGGCCTAGGCAGGCAGATCACTTGAGCCCAGGAGTTTGAGACCAGCCTGGGCAACATGGTGAAACCCAACTCTGCTAAAAATGCAAAACTTAGCCATGCGTGGTGGTGCACGCCTGTAATCCCAGCTATTCTAGAGGCTGAGATGGGAGGATTGCTTGAGCCCGGGAGGCAGAGGTTGCAGTGAGCTGAGATTGCACCACTGCACTCCAGCCTGGGTGACTGAGCGAGCCCATTTCAAAAAAAGAAAGGAGGGGAGAGGAGGGGAGGGGATGAGAGGGGAGGGGAGGAGAGAAAAAGAAAAAGAAAAAAAAATTGTCTCCACAAGCAGAAGGAAGATATTTAATTTCTTAAGAAACTGAATTCCCAAGGTGAATCCCTTCTTTTATAGATGACGAAATCTTACCATGAGGGAGTGACTTGACCACAGTCTCCTAACGGTTACAGAGCCAGGGGGTGACGCCTATGCTGCTGGCTCCTGACCTTCCTCCCCACCTTCCCCAAGTTCCGCAAGCCCCAGCCCTGCTTCATGGCAGACTTGGCTCATGAAAACTCAGCACTAGGGCCTATGTTCATTTCTCTGATGTAACTACATGAAAACCAATCTCACTACACAAAACCAAAACTTGCTAAGTGTGAGCACTGCTTTGTCTTCTGGGCTTACCTCCTTGATCGTGGTGTTTCTTCCCCTCCATGAAAACCACCATCTTCCTCCCTTTTTGGGCATTTTATCCCTCATGATAGATTCCACAGTGGCCTGTTTTAAATGGATGGTAACATAAATAATGGAACAAAAAAAGATCAACTTAGCACATTCAAACCAAAAGAAACATACATGCAAATTAAAGTAAGATTTAAAAAAAAGAAAAAATCAGAGAAAACACAACATACTATTTGTGGGTTAAAAATTTTAGAGAAGCAAAACCTAATGGCGTCCAAAATTACATGAAGGTAACTTAAGCATGAAGACTTAAGAAGATGTTAAAGGAATAAACAAACAACAAATAAAATACAACACAACAACAACAACAGAAAAAGAAAGCATTAGAAATCATTAGTGATTAGTAAGACTGGAAGTTTTCAAATTAAAGGGGCTAACTGGTTATTATTACTCTCAATATGATTACAAAATAAAATATGAAATGATTAATATGGGGTAGAGGATAAAACAGTTTTCAACAAAAGGTAAAATGCATAGGATTTGTATGAAGTGTAAATTTCTAAACATTTACATTAATAGGTACATTTGATTTAAAATCTCAAGTATTAAAAAGAAAATTTATACTTTTAACTTAGGCAAATGAGTTTAATGGGGAGATTAAATATGAATTGATAATTCTCTACGTTTTTTCCAAAGAACAAAATATCTATCTATCTTGAGGTTAATTCTAGGACCAAGGTAAAAGTCATGTAATGTCCCTTCCTCAATTTACAGAACTTTCAAGTAGCTGACACCTCAGCTAGTAACGAAAGAAAGACTTAAGCTGAAAGATTCAGTCTAACAGGGTGCAGGGAAGCAGATAGGTAAGTAATTTACTATGTAGCTTAAAAGATCGCTATCTGACACAAAAGAAAACCCAACTGCAGTAAAACACAAACCACTCACATCCAGTTCATAACTAGGACAATTCATAAAGCTGTCAATGACCCTATTTCCCCTAAATCTACTCATAAATGTAACAAAACCACAATTTAAAAAAAAAAAAAAAAAAAAAAGCAAGCAAGCCAAAGAAAGGAAAAAAACAAACAGGAGTATTTTCAGTCCTTCACAAACTTGTTCTAATGTTCATTTGAAAAACAAACAAAAATAGCCTAGAAAATTCTCAGGTAGAAGAGTAGTAAGTAGAACAAGCACTATTGGATATTAAAATATACCTAAATATACTAAAAGAATGCAGTGTTGGTATACATGGACACATATCACAGGAACAGAAAACAAAAGTCCAGAAATAAATCTAAATTCACAGAGAAATGTAACAGAAGGTGAAGTTGTAAGTGCCTCTGAGTGGAGGATAGGGTTAGTTAACACACGGCCCTGGGATAATTCAGTAGCCATGTCAGACCCTGGAGGATAGGGTTAGTTAATACACGGTCCTGGGATAATTCAGTAGCCATGTCAGATCCTGTGAGCAGCTCACCTGCCTCCTCTTTCTTGCTGACAGATCTGAAACTGTTCAAGAATCAGGCTGCAATGCATGTGGAGAGGGCTGGCTCAACTCCAGAGGAAGCACCTCAATGGTCGAAGCCATTCACTGTCATTTCATTGCTTTGCCAAGAACTGCTTTAGAGGCAATCATGCGACCAACTTTGGCCAATGAAATACGAGCGAGCTGCCCTACCCTCCCGTTTCAGATGTGGCAGTATGAGGAGATGATCTGTAGGGCAGTCATCTTGTGACCATCAAGGAAAAGCTGAGAAAATCACAAAGAAGCTAACCCAAATTCATCAAGCCTGAAACTGTCAACCTCCAAGATCCTTGTCATATGAGATTATTACTTAAGCCACTTTTAGTCATTCTGTTTCCTAAAACAAAAAGCATCTTCACCAATTCAAGAATTTCCTAGGAAAAAAGAAAACTGGTTTGGTTCCCAATACCTCCCTCATTAAGCTCAAAATAAAATCTAGATGGATGAAAGATTTTAAAATCTTTCAAAATTTCCAAAACTTGTAAAAATACACCCCATATACAAGAAAGCACAAAAAGAAAATATAAGGCCTATCTTCACAAGTTTTGGAAATGGGGAAGCAGGGCCATTTTAAGTATGATACAAAACCCAACAGCCATAAAAGATAAGATGGGCAAATTCTACATTTAAAAATAATGTCTATATTAGAGAAATGCCATATATAGAGTCAAAAGTTACTGACTTGTAAAAAGATTTAGCATGCATATCACAAGAACTAATTTAAGTTTCAGAGCCCATGTGGATTTCTTTTTCAGTGAATAAATAAATCCTTTAGCTATATTGCTATTGCAATGGGCTTTTTTCTTACGGATTTGTAAATGTTGAGAACAGTGACATAAAAATGTGTCCCAGGCCATGGATACCATGGCAGGGACAAAATAAAAACCACTCTGGAGAACATGCCCTCAGCCCAGTCCACAAAGGTACCCACAGATAAAGCACCATCCAACATGAGATTGCAGTCCTCAAAACACAACGCATGCACACACACACACACACAGACACACACATGTACACATGTGCACATACACACACGCACACACCTGCACAAGTATGCACACATACACACGTCCACACACACGTGTGCACATGCTCACATGCAAATGCACACACATGCACATATGCACACACGCACATGCACACACACTGACACATAGGCACAGACACACACACACATACGCAAACCCAGGAAGAAGCAAGCCTAGACTCAACAAAGTCCGATTAGACCTTCAAGAATCTCAAGTGTTAGAACTGGCTGACCGACTGCAACATCCTAAGGCACACAAAAGCTTGCTAAGCACACAAAGGATACAAACAAGTCTAAGGCAGTCTCTGCAGCAAAAAACGTATAATCTAGTAGGAAGATCTATCATTGAAAATTAACAATTCCCGGCTGACTGTCTGGTGAATTGTTTTGGGGAGGATGAGAACACTGCAGGCTGGCAGGTGGTGTGGCTGCCCTCCTACCTCTTCCCTGCGGCCACTTACCTACTCTCCCCTGCAGACTGGGAGCTGCCCAGGCCCTGTACTGGCTCCAGCCTCAGAGAATCAGGCATGGGGCCGGCTTCCTGGCTGAGCAGCACCTGACACTGGCACGGACACCTGCGCCTGACCTCGATGCCTGCTCCACCCCTTCCAGGGTGACACTCATCTCCCTTTGTCCTCACTGGGCTCTGAGGTCCTGGCACCCGTCTGCTCAGCCTCCACCTGTGCCCCTTGCACGGCAGATATTGAGAAAGGAATCTTTGGTCCATGATTGGCAGGTTTTGCCTCGATAAGGAGGAGGGGGAACCACGTGCACGGTGCAAGAGAGAGATCTGAAACTCCTGGCCTGTATGCTCATGAACTTCAAAACAGCACAGTGGAATTAACTCTGTGGTTTCCACAATGAAAGTGAAATTCCAATCACCCAGATTAAGCCATTCATCATTTCTAGCATCCCCTTTTCTTTCTCATGTTAAAGCTCACCTTTGGCAAAGGTTTCTGGAAGGCCTGCATTGCCAGGAGGAGGGGTGCTGCTGTTGTCCAATTATAGTATCTAACACAAAACAATGAAACAGATGTCAAAAAACCGAGGCTCAGACCGAAAACCTTTCCAATGTCATATAAAGTAGTCAAGGAAAGCTCAGGACCCCAGCGAGGTCCTTAAAGAGCTCAACACTCTTGCTAGCCTCCTCCTTTCCCCCAGGCAGAGGCTCCCGTCCACCTCACCCCAGCCGCTAGTGAGGGCCCAGCAGCAGCCGTGCCAGCAGGGCGGACAGTTGGACATGCCAGCAGCCCAAATCCCACAGTACAGCTGCTGCACCAAACCACAATATGCTTGGGGTATTTCTTGCCACATGTTAAGGAAAAGGCAACTAGGTGTAAAACATCCATGGCTTAAGGGAGAAAAGCTTGCTAACAGTCTGCAAAAATAACTGTACATCCCTTGCCCTCAGATAATGAAGTTTTCTTTTTTTTTTTTTGAGACGGAGTCTCGCTCTGTCACCCAGGCTGAAGGGCAGTGGCTTAATCTCGGCTCACTGCAAGCTCCACTTTCCAGGTTCAGGCCATTCTCCTGCCTCAGCCTCCAAAGTAGCTGGAACTACAGGTTCCCGCCACCATGCCCAGCTAATTTTTTGGGTTTTTTTTAGTAGAGACGGGGTTTCACCGTGTTAGCCAGGATGGTCTCCATCTCCTGACCTCGTGATAAGCCTGCCTCGGCCTCCCAAAGTGCTGGGATTACAGGTGTGAGCCACTGCGACCGGCCAATAATGAAGCTTTTCAAAAGGGTGGAGATGTAGGCTACTCTGATATACCCATGTACTGCAAAGTGTGACTATTCACATTCAATAAGAACATCGAGCTGGGTGTAGTGGCTCACACCTGAAATCCCAGCACTTTGAGAGGCCAAGGTGGGAGGATCTCTTAAGCTCACAAGTTCAAGGCTACAGTGAGCTACAACTGCACTGCACACAGCCTGGGAGACAGAGCTACAACTCGTCTCAAAAAAAAAAAAAAAAAAACTAGTAGAGATAAATACTAAAACTCACAGGACTGAGGGCTATCGGAACCTATCAGCTGTACTGCCAGTTCTATGGGCATGGAACTCTGACCACAGTGAAGGCATAATAAAGCAATGTAGCAAAGTCTTGATTTTATATATTTCTAAGGCTTAATGTCTAGGTCTATTTGAAAATATGAAACAGAAACAGTATCATGCTACTGCCAAAGTGACTTTCAAGAGGTACTTACTTACTCCCAATCTTTACCACGAGATTGGGGTCATCGATAATAGCGGGGTTGTCCACAAACTGTTGATACGACACAGCTTGCTCCAGGAATGCATCTGTGACAGCAATTGTAGAGGATCAGGGAAAAAGAAAAAGACAGGTCAGCTCAAAATTAGGCCTACCTTTCATTCGCTCACTCACAAGTGTTTTCTGAGAGTTTGTGCATTCCAATTGTGCAGACAATCCTATAAAATGTATTTGTAAAGGTCGCGCCATTTTATCTGGAGGGCGGTGTCTGTGCAGCAATGCAGGAAGGCCAGGGCAAGTCTGAGGATGCCGGGGGACGTGTACCTTAGTTGGGGCACATACGTTCACACAGGGAGTAGGGGTGAAAACAGCATGCACGTGCATCTGCACAGGTAGAGTCACAGCTACGCATGGCACAGAGGCCAGGCTCCCTTGGCTGAAGTCATGATTATTGGGGTGACCCTGGGCAAGCGGTTCACCTCCCAGGCCCCAGCTCCCTCCTCTAGCATGGGGATAATAACATCTGCTTCCTAGGGTGGTCATGGGGACTGATAAGGTCGTGAACAGGAAGCACAGGGCCCTTTCGAAAATGGGGCCGCCTCCACTACAATCGGAAGCAGGAATGGCACTGTTCTCACCGCGCTGGGGCAGCCGCACCCGGATCAGAGCAGAGGAGAAGGTGGCAGGGTCAGGAGGCCCAGACCTCAGCCCTGGACGTTCTCAGTTCTTTGACCGGCTCTGGCAGCTGGGCTGTACCTTGAGCCTTGACCGTGATTCTGACCATCTCCCTGGCCCGGAGCCATGCCTGCTCCTTCCCTGGGAGCTTCTATTTACCCTGAACCAAACCGAAATCCAGCAGACATCAGACACTAAGAGTCTCCTCTGTCCAGGAAAAGAGTCCCTGGGTCATGATGCCAGCCCGACTGGCCTCGACATGTACCCTCAGAGCCCTCATCAGGACCTCCGGGGACTCTCCTGGCGTCTCCTGACTGTGACAATCTGGCCTCACCTGTAAGGACTGGACACTCACAGATCCTGCCCCATGAGATAACACTCAGATAACGGCGCCCGGCCTCGTCAGTGCTGCCACCCCATGCCCCCAGCTCATGTGTATCAGGGAGGGAACACCCAGGGGACTCAATGGGACACTGGTCTCCTCACGCCAGTGTCCAGAGAGTGCGCTCGCCCCCCATGACCTCAGAAACACAGTGGGGCTGGGCATTAACGCGTGGTCCTAGGAAAACTGAGTGAATGAACGGAGCTGGCGGGACCCAGCACACAATCTTGTTTCCGCTCTCAAAGGAATGGCTGGCAAAGGCGTGAGAACAAAAAGGCCTCAATCTTTGTGGAAGAAGAAATTCCCAAAGCCTTGAAGGGACCAGGGCGGAGGCAGGAGTCTCAGATGGCAGCCCTGGGTCGAAGGGGAGATGCGGGTGGCTCCTGAGACGTAGAGGGAAGAAGTATACAGCCTGGGCCCCTTCCCTGCTAGAAATACCACGAGGGGATGGAAAAGAGGAAGTAGTGGGGGAGGGGGCGGGAGGAGTGCAGGGTGACTGTGTCTAGTTCCCGCGTCCATCAGCTGATAACTGCTGACTGACTGCGCCCCGCTGTGGGGCTTGGGCACACCCCACCATGGAACTGTCAGGAGGCCCTGGCAGGGCATTGCTATGAATGTGGCAGTACTATGAATGAATCACCTAAGCCCACCCTATTAACGCCCTTTGAATCCAGCTGGGAAAAGTTCCCAGCCCTCCTCTGACCAACTCAGACCTCCCTGCTCCAAGGCGCCGGCACACGTCTCTCCCGCTGCCAACGCCCTCTAATTTAATTAGACTGACACCCCCCTCTAGCCTGCAGGCTTCTGGAGGCCGTCCCTGCAGTGCTCGCCTGGGGCACAGGGGACACACAGTGATGGCCTGAGCCATGTGTGACCCACAGAACTCTGAGGCCGGCTAACTGCAAGCTAGAAACATCGGGGTTACGAGTTGGGTGCTATCATTTGTGCTGTCATTAACCGCAACCAAGGGAAAAGCCGCCTTGACACGTACTCCTTGGAGAAGCCTAAGCCTCTGGGCCTTCTGACCGGAGGCCACCAGAGGGCGCCCGCGCGAGGCCCGCGGTACCTTTCGTGATCTCCCGGTGGTCGCTGAGGCCCCCGCAGAGGGAGATGGCGATGGAAGGGAGGTCCCTCAGCCCGTCCGAGGTGCTCTCCACGCCACTGTCCACGCCTGAGCTGCCCACAGACTGCGGGGACTGGTTGGCCGACCGGGCTCCGTTGTCGCTGGCATGTTTTGCGAGTCCGGAAGGGTCTCCGCTGGAAGGAGAAAAAGCGGCAGAGACCGGCTGAGGACTGTCTCAGTCCAGGGTCCCACATCGCCATCCAGTGATGCTCTGGCACGCAGCCACCCTCAGAGCTGCAGACGGCTGCATCTCAGCACAGATGTTGATTAAAGCACCACGACGAGGAAAGAGACATTTAAACGCCTTAGCTTAGGGGACAAAACCATTATTTCCCAGCCGGCTGCATCTCCCTGTATCCCCCTAAAATACACTGAAGAAGTTAGCTGTCCTCCCTGTTCCCTGCCCTTCCCCTCCAGGCGCCAGCCCTGCCGTAGATCGCAGGCGGACTGGGGGTGGGTCCCCAGGATCACGGGAGACCCTCCTGGGAGAAGAAAGGGCTGCACAACTGTCACTTATTGGGCTGTGGACCATGACCACTGTGGACAACATGACCTCAGGCTTCAGAGGGAGGGCAGTCTGGTGCCTGCGCCCCTGTCCCGAGGTGGGGACGCTGCCCATTGCCCACACCCTATGTCCATAGAGAGAGCAGGCGCATTTCACAAGGCAATGGGAGCCTCCTGCTGCCTCTCTTTTTTTTTTTTTTTTTTTTGGGGATGGAGTCTCACTCTGTGGCCCAGGCTGGCATGTAGTGGCATGATCTCAGCGCACTGCAACCTCTGCCTCCTGGGTTCAAGCAATCCTCCTGCCTCAGCCTCCCAAGTAGCTGGGATTACAGGTGCATGCCAGCAAACCCAGCCAATTTTTGTATTTTCAATAGAGACGAGGATTCACCATGTTGGCCAGGGTGGTCTCAAACTCCTGACCTCAAGTGATCCACCCACCTCAGCCTCCCAAAGTGCTGAGATTACAGGCGTGAGCCACCGCGCCTGGCTGGCTTGCACACTTTCTAATCAAACATAAGGGAAAACTGAGCTCACACAGAATGATATTCAGATTATCGAAAATGACGTGAGGAATTAAGAGGAATTTTACTTTTTGGGGAAATACAGGGCCGCCACTTCAGGATCCATGTCTGTGAGGTCATCCAGGTAGACGCCGTCAGCACCAAGATGTCGGCTTCGTTTATCTAAAAGGGCGAATGGCTCAAGTTAGAAAACCACTCTTCTAGAAATGACCTCATGGCCTTGTATCTATAGAAACAGCATTTAAACACTATGTGCAGATGTGCTCCCAGGTACTCAAACTTCCTAAGAACCACAGTAGTTCCAAATGTGTTCTGTTTTGTCTGGTAAAACTGAATGGCAAGAGTTTTTTAGACAAATACTTTGAGGTTTGGGCACAGCACCGTTGAGGGTGAGAAGCTGGTTTTGATGGACTTCTTCCATGATGATGCTGGAGAAAGAGTGGATTGAGGTCACTCTTGTAGGTACCGAGGCCCCTCACTGGAGGCCACAGCCTGCGCTTTTCCCATTGGAAAATAGTGGGCAGTACAACATGACCGTAGACCACCAAGGTCCACAAACCAGGGCCGTCATCCACCATCGCGTGGCCAGGATCAAGTTAGTTAACTTTGCTGAGCCTCATTCCTCCCCTGTAAAGTGCCTGAAGTGTACTGAGCACTCAACGCATTGAGGCTATTACCATTATCATTACACTTATTATGAAATGATAAAAGCTTTCATTAGGTACTTCCCCATCAATACCCCAAGGCAAAGCATCCGACCCTGTGCATTGTCAGACACTGGGTATGATGACTTCAAATGTCCTCTTTACTTCCGGCAGAGAATGATGTAATTGGTCCATACAATTCTAGAACACCACACGAAGCTGCTGGGTGGATGGAGATCAGGCCTGGCATCATTGATACTGACACACAGCCAGGAGTGCATTAAAGCAACGCAGAGCGCCACTGCGTGCCAACCACTATGCCAAGCGCTGAGGAGAGAAAGGTAAGTTAGATAGAAAGGACTCTTGATCTCAGACTATGGGGGAGTTGGGCAAAAATACATCAATAAAATAATGATCATTTGAAATCATGATAAATGGTATGCAGAAATTACAGTGGGTAAGGGGCTGGAAAGCAACACAGGTCAAGAAGAGAGGTGGCCAGGATTAACCTAATAATCAGCTTTACTAAAGTCACATTTATGGGTCCCATGGTGTGCTGAAAAGGACTTAACTCTCCCAGGTCTCAGCAGCCTCGGTGTGTAAAATGAGGAAGTTTGCTACATGATCCTCAAGGCCTCCTTCATGTCTGATTTCCTATGACTAAATTCTGATAATTAAAAGATTCCTCCGAAGAGCACAGACTGAACATGATCATTGTCATAGTTCAGTTTCTACCTCAGTTTCCTTGGAACTTTGGAAAGGACCTGTCATTTGTAGAGTGAGCACAAACTATGAACAGGAAGACAGCCGGGGAGCCCCAACCTTCATACCTTTTTTCCTGGAAGGAGAATCCGTCTTGTTTGCTGTCTGGACTACACTGGCAGATGGGGGTTTGAGCTCCTCGATCATGGGCAAGAGTGGCGCTGCTGCTCCTAAGGTCTCTAGGTCTTCTTCATTCACAAACTGCATTTCTGTCTGAGGCTTGTTCTGGTCCAAAAGTGCGCCCCCGGCCAGAGTTGGCGATTGGTCACTAAAAGTGTCTGAAGATTCGCTGTGAATGGCCTGAAAGTGACTTTTATCACAAATTTTTCTAGTGCTCAATGGGCTGGACTCTTTCATCTTGTGTGGAGAAGACTAGAGCAAAGAGGAGAGAGGGACAGAGAGAGAAAGAAGGTCAGCACAGAGGCAACCAGAAAAACTGGACAGAGGACAAGAAGTAATCAAAAGTAGGCAAGAACTTTTAAGCCTCGGGAATCACCTGGTGATTTCTATACCTGCCAAAAAGTCCGGAAACCAAGAATATTAGGTCCTAAGCAAATGAACTTTCCTGTAAAAAACATCAACTGCCAAAGAGAAGTGAGATTAGCAATGCCAACAGGCAGGGGCACCCTAAATGCTCACTGTTAGGTGACAAGTCTATTCACACATACTGGGATTCTCTGTGGCCATGAGAATCAATGAATTACAGCTACACCAACAACATGAATGAATCTTGCAAAACTAATCTCTGCTGTTAAGATCAAGTTTACCCTTGCAGGGAGCAGAGGGGTCAGTCTGAGCAGTGACCGCAAAGAGTGGGGGTCTCCATGCTGCTGGTCATGCTCTGCTTCTCGGTCTGGGTGCACGTTGCACAGATCTGTTTCTGCTGTGAAAATGTATTGAGCTATACATTTACAATCTGTATTTTTCTGTATGTATATTTCAATGAAGTTTACTCCCAAAACATGAGTGAATAAGTCAAGAATTGGTAATGGTTGGTTCACATGAGTGAGAAATTAGCATTTCTGATTCTACCGCCAGAGGGATTTCCAATTACAGAAAAGATTTATTCAAACAAAACCCAAAATGCAATTCATGGGCTAAAAAGAGGGGAGAAAGTATTCACTTCTCTATCTGATCAAACAGCTTCAATGGAAAATGAAAACAATGCTAACAGAAAATCTGCGGTTACAACTATTTTGCCCGAAGAAGTGATGGATTTGCACTTCCATGCTGTTTCTCCAGCAACTAATGACATCAACTTGCAAAGAGAGTTGGCTGGGTCAGCAGCATAGCTTGGACAGGGAAATCAGCATTTTTTGTGAAATCTAAATATAACCTAGAAAGGAAATGGATCCACAACTTTGGCCTCAACAGACTACTCTCCAAAAAGCTGCCCATCTTGACTCTTTATAAGGAATGTTTTCAATAGTCATTCACTCACTCACTCACTCATTCATATCACCAACACTTATTGGGGATGCAAGAGGCTACAGCATCTTCTAAGGACCTTACAATATTTTTTAAAGCTTGTGATAGAATAACATAATTCAAGATGTTTATAATACATTAGCATACCAAGTAAAATTTCTTGAAAGAAAAGACTGTGTTCATTTCATGTTTTTAGAAACGTATTTGTTGAACCAATTATGTACCTACATGTAAACCCACTGCATTTCCAAGATAGGGAAACTGAGGCTCAGCATGCATGTGGCACAGCCAAGGAGAAAGAATGCAAATATTCAGAGGGCCTACAGATGCCAGATACTTCACATACCTACATTAGCTCTTCTAACCTCCCAACAATTCTGTCATTTTCTCACAATTTTACAGATGAAGACACTGAGGTTCAGGGAAGTCTACTCATTTGCCCAAGGTCACCTTTCTAGCAAGTAGTGGAGTGAGGACTCAAACCCAGAATAACTTGCTGCCTCCCAGGCCCTCATTCTCTCTGCTACACTCAGCTACTTCTCTATGTATTTTGGAGATATCTATAGGGTCAAATTCAGGGTCCCACCAACAATGAGGGCCCAGAAATACTTACTACTTGATGAATTAAAACCTTAAGGTTTTCTGACTGTGTTTATCTATTAGGCTGAAATCTTTCATTTCTGTTCTATTAGCCTTTCCCTCTCCCAGGGCTCTCCCAGGTGTCTCTCTCTGTGAGGGACACACGAACATGTGGATTCCAGTTCTCACAACTCAGCTTCTCTTTCAATGGGCCAAGAGTCCACATCTCTCTCCCTGTGGCTTTGCTCCAGTCATCACTGACCTAGCAGAATCAAGAGCTGGAAGCTATTTTTGTTTACAGTTTCAAGACAGCAAGATTGTGTGTAAGTTGTATTTCTTTAATTGAATTTGCATTTAGCTGTGATAGAAAATGTGGATCCTGGCTAGGCACGGCAGCTCACGCCTATAATCCCAGCACTTTGGGAAGCCAAGGCGGGTGGGTCACTTGAGGTCAGCAGTTCAAGACTAACCTGGCCAACATGGTGAAACCCCGTCTCTACTAAAAATACAAAAATCAGTGAGGAGTGGTGGCACGCGCCTGTAATCCCAGCTACTCTGGAGGCTGAGGCAGGAGAATCGCTTGAACCCGGGAGGCAGAGGTTGCAGTGAGCCAAGATAGAGCCATTGTCCTCCAGCCTGGGTGACAGAGTGAGACTCTGTCTCAAAAAAAAAAAAAAGTAAATCCTAAGAGGAATCCCATAGGTTTAAAATCTACAAAAGCAATGAGACCTCTATAATGTTGGTAATGTGGAAGAAAGTAATTCCAACATTCAAGGTTAATCCTTAATATATTTTGGTTTACCTCTGGCTCCTGGTAGCTGTGTTTCTTGGCTATGCTATGATACTAATTCCATGTCATTTAAGCTAAGTTAGAAATCTTCGGTCCGGGGCAGAATTGAAGAGACGCTCACCTTAGCAGCCTGCGGCAGCTCTCCCCACAGCCAGAGCATTTCTGGATTCTTCTGCCCCGTCCTGTCTGTGGACTTGCTGACCAATTCTGAATCACTTTTAGGTGTTGAAGGTCGGGAACCGGAAGGACTTAAGAAAACACAAAGCAAAAATTAAGGTGGGAAAAGAAACTTTTGAAAATGTTTTGGGCCCAGCTCCATGGCTCAAATAGCCCGGAAAATGCACCCCCAGCTGTCGTTCGCTCTGAGCAGAGCCTCATGACAAATCCCTCCTCCGGCCACCAGGGGGCAGTGCAGCGCGTCCCGTGGAAGGCGCTCCCCGTGGGTCGCCCGCCCCACCCTGCCGCCTGCTGCACCGCGGAAAAAAGTATGTTTTACAAAAGAAAGAGATGGAAAGAGAAAGGGAAAAATAGTCTGTTCTTACCTCAAAAAGCCCACCCTTCCCCACCCCACTCTGCACTCGCATCTCCTGCATTCTGCTTCCAAACCAAGTTCCTCTGCTGTCAGAGGGCTGCAAAAGGGTCTTGGTTGGCTCGGGCAGGCACTCCTTAGAGTCTATATTTTAAATATTTATAATCTGCACTGGCCTCGGAAACAGGGAATTATATCATATGCCTGTTTTACCAAAGATGCTGGATGCCACAAATAAACTCGATAACGTTGGGCAGGAGCCTCCAAGTTGAAATTTTCTAAGATCTTATGTCTTCCAGGAATATTTGACAAGGGACTCACCAACTGGCTGAGGCTCGCTCAGTAACCACCTCCATGTTTCCTGAATTTTTACTCTGAAGACCCAAATGAGGTCTTACTTCTGCCCAGCCAAAGTAACCATCCAAAAGTCACTAACTTATCCACAAGATCCTCACCGTATTCTAAACAACTTAGAGAAATATTATTTACAGCAGCAACTCTTGTAATTATTTATTGCCGCATAATAACATGGTTAATTATTGCTTATTTTCCCGCATCATTTCCTCTAGAGGAAGACCGCAGAGTTTTCAGACAAAGCAGGAAATAAAGCTTTGCAGTTTCCCTTGCCATCTTCTTTCCCAGACCTTATCTATTCTTCGGACTGATGCTCCTGGTCTCATTGATCTTTGAGTTAGAGTTCAACTCCAATTGAATACAGCTTTCCTGTCAATACAAGGTGAGTTCATGATGATCCATAACTTGTATCCAACAAACAGGGACCCTATGGGCTAAACTGATCCTGAATGTCTTTGCTCAAGCTGCATAGAGTAGCTAGACCAAGCGCCCCCTCTCTCATCTCACACGGAGAGGCAGAGGGTGGTCCCTGCTCCCTTGGTGTCCCCGACTCCCAGCCCTTCTAACGACGTGCTGCCACGGGGGAGCCTGTGCGCTCTCTTTCTCCTGCCTGGGGAGAGGAGGCTCCTGACATCACACTAGGAGAGCTTCTGCAACGGGACACCCTGCTCCCGACAGACACACATTTCTGCCCTTTAGGGAGCAGTCCTACGAGAAGGCACGTGGGGTCCCCACACATCCATGTGGGAAAACCTCCCGGCCTTTCAACCTCCTTGCTCCTCCAGTTCTACAACTGGACTTCTCCAAAGAGACAACGCTCTTATGGCACTGAAGCATCTACAGTCACATGTCCAGTATCACTGCAATGGGAAAAGCGCAGGCTGTGGCCTCCAGCGAGGGGCCTTGGTACCTACAAGTTTGACCTGAATCCACTCTTTCTCCAGCATCATCATAGAGGAAGTCCACTGAAACCGGCTTCTCACCCTCAATGGTGCTGTGCCCAAACCTCAAAGTATTTGTCTAAAAAGCTCTTGCCACTGTTTTACCATACAAAATAGAACATATTTGGCTGTAAGTTCTTTGGAGCAATAAATTATCTCACTGCCACTAAATGAAATAAAGTCCTTTAGACAAAGCTTGCTCTGAGCAGGGGTCGGCAAACATTTTCTGTAAAGAGCCCAGTGGCAGATATCACGGGCTTTATGGGTTTTATGACGTCTGTCGCAACTACTCGCTGCCGTGGTAGTGTGAAAGCAGCCACAGCCAGTATGTAAACCAACTGCCTATGCCCAGGAAAGCTTGACGGAGGCAGATGGTGGACCAGATTTGACCCACGGGCCGTGGTTTACCAACCTCTGCTCTAGAAGAACAAAAATGTGGAACACGGTTCTCCTGCAGCGATTCCCAACTCCAGAGTTCCTAACATTCTGGTCCCTTCATAAAAGCCGCAAGCCACAAAACAAAGCCATAGAGAAACTCAGGCATGCCAACTCATGCATAAGGAGCCCAGCCCTACACGAAAGTCTAAGCTGCAAGTCCCTCCCCGACAGCAAACAGGCCACCACCATAAATGCTGCCCGTTCAGGCCACAGCAGCCCTTCTTCAAAGGTCCTGTGCACAGATACAGATGCGCTTTCTGCCGACCGTCACTGAGGGAATTCACACAGACCAAAGAGGACCCAGGAACGGGGCCCACTGCCAAGTGGGATTTACCAGAAAGATGACTCCAAAGTGCTCTGTCATCAAATATTATTATTTTAAGATCAAGGGGTTGTTCAAAAAAGTAAGCTTACAAGGTCGATGACTGATGTTCATAAATAAGGTATTTATTAGCCTTATCAAAGTTTTCAGTATTTTTGCCAGTCCCAATGAGGCTAATTAGTTGTAACTGTTTACGACTTTGTTTTCCTCATTTTAAACGGACTTTTCTTCTGCAAATGTAGCCTCTGAATGAAGTACATCCTGAGGTCTGGTTCTTTAATCAAAAAGAAAAAAAGGTTTTCCCATGTGCAGATTAATCGTAGCTTCATTTGCTAAAGGCTTATAAAGTAAACCATGTAAGTCCATAAAGTAGGTAGGTCAAAACTGAGGGAATGAAGGCAGAAATCTGAGGTGACTGCATCGAATGAACACACCAACCTGTGATCCTCAGCCTGAGACCCAGCCCATTCTCCAAGATTCTGTTCTAGAAATGCTGTGGCAAGTGTCTGACTCCATTATTCAGATAGCCCAATAAACTGCTTAAATGGTTATAATAAATTCAAGTGGTATTCCGAAAATATCTTGTAAACTTATCTGTCAAACAACCCCACACAGAAAACGGAAGATCATATTCCCAAGCTGTATTTCATTATTCTCATTTTCAAAGCACTCCACAGAATTAGGTAAAATTATTTGCTTAACCATAATTTCCAGAGAGTCAAATTTAGGAATTTAAAAAAAAAAAAAATCTGATCATCTACAAATGCTTATAATGAAAGGAAGAGAGTAATCTATAGACATATTGTTTCATAAGTAATTTGGTTAGTGAAATCGATTTGTAGGAGTTAGATCAAAATTTTCACTTCATATAATCTACACGTATTTTCTTCATAAGTAATTTGGTTAATGGTAAAATACACTTACAATAAGAGTTAGATCAAATTTTTCATTATTGAATACATCCCAATGGGGAAAGTAACTCCTCTACCTTTCCGGAGGATGGAACAGGGAAGACTGTGGAGGGCAAGAACTAGACAGACCTCCCTCGGCCGCATCTGCAAGATGAGGGGCAGTCCTTTTGCAATCTACCAGGCTACTGGATACCACCACGTGATACACATTAAAAGAAAGACAAAATCAGAGGTCAATTACATCAAGTAAGATTATATAAAGTATATTATATAAAGATTATATATAAGATTATATAAAGTATTTGACTACTCTCAACAATGACATTTTTAAGAAAATAAAGCAACTCAGGCATCTGATAACGGCAGAGCACTGGATATTGAAATTGCTAGGAAACCAGGGTGAATTTTCTGAGACACAAAAACAGGAAACTGCCAAATGACCTATTTCACTTTCTGTTTCACCCACGTGTAGGAGTGATCGTCTCTGGTCACACTTTGGTGCTGAATCAAACTACAAAATCCAAAAATCTGATCGTGTGTGCTGTCAACTGTCTCTTTACAGAAAATACGTAATTCCAAGTGTGGAAATGTAACTATTTATCCTAATTTGTCATTCCATTTGGTGACGGGCCGAGCTACATAACCTGACTCAGTCATCGTGCTGCATTCATGAGGCAAAACGTTACAGATGTTTGGAGCATTAAACATGCTCAGAGTTGCGTTTAAAGTGTTTCTTTTAAATCCTTAAAATTAACCTACAGTGCTTGAACAGAGTTTTCAATCCATTATTGGGTTCCAAATATTTTATGTTATTTTCCTCCTACACCACTATTTTTCCCTCCACTATTTTATCTCCACACACCTAGAGAAAGAATGAGAATCTAGAAAGGTCTTATATCTGCACTGTCCGTTATAATAAACCACCAGCTACAGGTGGCTCCTGAGCACTTGAAATGTGGCTGGTCCAAATTGGGATGTTCTGCACATGTCAAATACAGAATGGAGTTTAAAGACTTGGCATGAAAACAGAAATGTGATGTATCTCATTAATAATTCTTTAAAATTGATTGCTTGTTGAAATGATATTTTGGAAATACTGTGGTCAAATGAAATATAGCTTTAAAATTAATTTCATCTTTTTTTAACTTTTTAAAAACAGGGCTACTGGAAATCTTAAAATTACATGTGGAGCTAGTTATTATGTTTCTATTGAACAGGGCTAGGCTCTGACGCAGGCCGACCTCCACGCAGGGACTTTGTCACAGGCCTCAGCCTCAGCCTGCTGGACTAACCTGCGACATCAGTATTGGCTGGAAACCAGACGTGGAACGTATCAATTTTCTCTCCAGCCTCCATGTCAGCACACACTGGCGACTGCTGCTTGCTAATGCACAAGGTTACCCTGATCAAACTGGAACCAGGGTAGCGTTTTGATAAGACTGGCTTTAGGCAGGAACCCAGAGTTTCTAGGAGCTCGCACACTTCTACTTCAGATTCCAGAAGTGAATCTAAAGCATGAGGTGTACGAATAATCCAAGGATGTCACTGGCATTTAGACCAGCGTTTCTCGGTCTCTTTTTCATTATCACCACACCCCCGACCATTCTGAGAAATTCAAAGCCCAGCTCCACCCACCATGAGATTTGAATGCTATGGCCCCTTAGAGACCACAAACCATTATAATGTCTACGATTTTGTTGCCACCCAAGAATGAATTTTCATCCCAGTGGGGGTTATATGATTTCCTGTGTGAGAACGCAGGATTTAAAGCTACCCTCTTCCCCCAGTCCTATGAAAACTCGCTGGGGGACTCACTATTCCCACAGGCTTCACCGATGTAAACATCTCTGGGGTCATCGGGATGGCATTTGCACAGTGAGCAGCTCTAGTTCTCCAAGTTCTCCTCTAGGGCAACTTGTGAGTTCATTCAGGGAAATAAATATTCTTGAATTCGGCAGAATGGATTAAGTGTGGGGGAAGCATCATTCTAATAGCTCTGAACGACCTCAGTGGCTCCTGAAGCAATGCCTGTGTTTTTGAATTTTACTTAGCGCTAAGTATCAAGAAAGGCTCTGCCACTGTGTTTTCTCCTATTAACAATTAGCATGATGTAATTTACACGTTTTTCCTTTCAAGTTCACCTCCAGGGAGCTACAGCCATATCTGCAGACGGAGTCTGACCCCAGATATAAGTGTATGATCTGAACATGTTCTGTTTTTAATCCTCATCTGTACCTCCTACTCTGCACTGTGGTTTTCCTGGTCCTAATTATTTTCACTTTTCATTTCTATTTCATTCTTTTCTTAGAATTGTTCCCCTGGGCCAGGGGAACAACTTACCTGGGAGTGGGCGACCACTCTCTATCTGAATTAGGGTATGAGGCTGACTGAGGGTAAATCACGGCTGGGGAGAGGTTTTCCTTAGGAATATCATCTTGGAATGGAGACATATCATTAGGAAGAGTTCTGGAGGAAAAAAATAAGAAGACTAAAGTCAAAGAATTCTTAATGATAGATTCACAATCAAGTTCCAATTTTTTCTTGATTAGCTCTAAGTGCTTTGTAATTAACATGATCTCTTTAAACACCCAGACCTGTTCCAGGCAGTGGAAGGGGAAAAAGTGATACCGGCATCCATAAATGTGTCTACGTGCTAATGCTTTGGCTGAATTCTAAATGTAAAATCATTTTGTTTTGGCATTTGGACTCAGACACGTGTGTGGTGATCACACTGCTGGCTCCTCCCATCATGCCACCTCCTGTTACCCTACACAGTCACGTTCCAAAAGCCTGGGAAGTAGAGCGGCCCCAAACCGGCCGGAGGGTGGTATAAAACCCCTGCCAGGTACAGGCAGAGCTGCCGAATAACTCAATGACCATACGCTGATCATGTTTTGTCTAGCAGAAGAAATAAATGGCATCAACCAAACATGCCTTATGGTTACAGAACAACTGCAAACGACCTAGTTTCAGGTATAAGCACACTCACTACTACATACAGTTCACAATTTCAGTCATGCAGAGGCCACTGTCTGCATGCTGATGTTACCTGGAACACCTACCACTACATTTTGGACTTCACCGTCATGCAGAGAAGGCAATTATAAGAAGCCCAATGACCCTGGTTCTGAGCCTGTCACAGGTTAGAGGCTGTAGTTGGGAAAAGCAATATTCGTTGCCAGTTGACATTTATTTTTTACCGAAAAAAAAGATATATTCTATTCCGAATAATGATGCAGGAAGATACTCCTGATGTTCCTTATCCCTTCTTTATGTTAACAAAATTATCAAAAATTACACTGAATTCCATAAAAATCTGAAACATCAAATATCCTTTCAAAATGAATTTTATCTTTTAAAACTGGCATTTTTCACCAAAACAGTAATACATACAAACAGAATTTCACTACATTGTTAAAAGCAAAGAAAAGGGAAACAAAATTTCCATTAAACTTTGGACCTAAGTCAACATTAAAAAGGAAAAAGTTTGCTTATAGAGAAAACAGCATTTTCTTCATTCACTTTTAAGCCTGAAATCAGCGCTTGCCTATAAATCAGCCCAACTGTGCACGGTTGGTGCTCAAATAAGAATAAATAGGTTCCAAGAAAATAGGTTTGGTCATGAACTATTAATTTGCTCAGTTCCTGTTTCTTGACTCCATCCCAGGCTGCTACAGTGATCAGCCAAGGAGGTTTGGCATCACCAACTGTCTCTTGGCTACAGCACAGCAAATCTTTATACCACTCTAAGATTGAGTCCACATGATTCCAAAATTCAACCTAAAATAGGGGTCCCCAACCCCTGGGGTCCGTGTCCCTGTCAGAACCTGGGCCACACAGCAGGAGGTAAGTGGCAGGCAAGCTGGCAAAGCTTCATCTGTGTTTACAGTCGCTCCCCATCCCTCACATTACCACCTAAGCTCCTCCTCCTGCCAGATCAGTGGCAGCATTAGATTCTCATAGGAGCGGGAACCCTGTTGTGAAGTGCACATGTGAGAGATCTGGGCTGCGCACTCCTTATGAGAATCTAATGCCTGATGATCCGTCACCCATCACCCCCAGACGGGACTGTCTAGTTGCAGGAAAACAAGCTCAGGGCTCCCACTGATTCTACACGATGGTGAGTTGTATGATTATTTCATTATATATTACAATGTAATAGTAATGGAAATAAAGAGCACTACAAATGTAATATGCTTGAATGATCCTAATACCATCCACCCCCAGTCCATGGAAACATTGTCTTCCACAAAACTGGTCCCTAGTGCCAAAAAGGTTGGGGACCACTGGTCTAAAACACATAAAAGAATAAGGAACTATGGGGGAGAGTTTATAAAAATAATCTTGAACGGGTAACCATCTGATTCTGGTGCAGCCCCTCCACCCCGGACGGTTATTACCTGCTGCTCTCCAGCAGCTCCATGGCCTCATCCGAGCTCATCTCAATGGGGAACATGTCCTCCTCCTCAGACGTGTTCACGCTGTCATCTCTCTTCAGGCTGTCCAGCTGGGACTTTCTCCTCCTTTTTCTTCTCTTCTTTACTACAGAGCTGCTTGACGGCGTCTCGCTGGGAGCGATCACTTGGGCTGGCGTGCTGGCATCCAGGCCTCTTATCCTGTCCACAGAGCCTCTTTTCAGCTGACATTCCATTCTCGAAGCTCCTTCTGACAGGATGGGGGAGGTGGCCAGGTGCATGGGGATGACTTCCTGAGAAAAGAACACATTTTCTTAAAAAAAGCCTCGTTAATTCGGGTGTTAAGGAGCAGGGCCTTGCCAGAGGCCTCCAGGATTCATTTCAGAGGCCAAGTACTTCCTGGGGAGGGCCACAGCAGACAGCCCAGCTAGAGGCCACAGCCACGGTGACCAGGAGATGTGGCTGCCCAGTCTGGTAGACGATCAGAAAGCCAACAATGTGCTGAATGCCACTTTGTACTCAATCCTGCATTTATGTAATTTTAACAATGGGAGGTAATTCTCAGTGATCTCAAGCCTCCAAAATTCAACTTTGGCTGAAATATCCAGAGCACAGAGAAAAAAAATGAGCTTTGACTCACCATATTATGCTGAGAATTGGATGCACTCTTGCACTTCTGTGTAGATGTGGGTGTGCGTGGGTGGGTGTGAGAGAGAGAAAGAGAGATAATGTGTATTGTGTATTTTTTATATGCACTGAGTTAAGATAATAATGATCTAAAAACCAAAAACACATAAAACAACCGACAGCCCCACCCAAGAATCTGCCTGCACCAAGGCCCAGGGAGGGCCCTGAACATCAAGGAAGCAGATGCTGATCCTCTCTTTAAAGACAAAAGGAAAAAGCACAACCTGTCCATTTAGTAGTTGTTTGTAAAGATTCAGCAGTTTTTATAAAACCCTAGTAATCATTTTATTAATGAATGCCGCGTTTTGTATGAGAAATTTGTTGACAATAAGAATATACAGAAAACAGAGGGAATAAATAAAAATGTGCTGCTGATCATTCAAGTAGGTTTGGAGAGCATCAGACACGCTGAAATATAACATCTACACCTGAGACATACAGCTGTGAGAGGTCATCTCACCTGGCTGCTGGACTAAACCAACTAGAGAAGCAGCACAAATTCTCAGGTCAAGAGCAGAGAAGGGCCCTTGCTGTCTGCGGGCTGGAATGGAATGGGCAGCCAGGCAGACCCCCGCAGGCACATGCAGCACCAGCAGTGCTGAAGGACATAGGCTCCCCAGCTTCCAGCAGCATCCCGGGGGTCCTAAGAGGCATCTGTATGTTGCTGAACATACTCTGGCCTCCAAGGCCCCACCCCCCCAACCACAGGCACCCTGTCAGACCAGCAAGACCAGCAAGCAGGCCCCATACGGGTCCCGCTGCATGCTGGCCCAAAATGCTTCCTCAGCTCCGGCGGCCAAGAATCTATCTAAAGCCAGGTACAAATAGAAATTAAAAATGCAGGTGTCCACATGCAGTGGAAAGAGTTTCTGTCAAAGGCCATTAGGAACCAATTAGTATTTTCGGAGTCTTCCCATCTAAGAGAGGTGAAGAGCAGGTGGGCAGGGATCCCCAGTATCAACAGGGTTACTCTAGAACATGGAAGGGGAGATGTTGGGTCCTCCCCAGGCACCACCCTTCTGGGTGGGCAGGATGGAGGCAGTGCCTGGGACTGTTCTGTCCCGAAGCTGCAATTACGGACACTTGCTTTAAAACCTGGAGCTATAAAGAGCCATTCCTTTTTAATCATGGCTGCCTTCCTGGAAAGGAACTAGTTCAAGTCGATTTCATTCAGGAACCCCTATATTAGACCCCTTTAAGGTTCCTCATCTGTGAACAAAAGAGTTAAAGACGTGGTTTGTCTTAGTAGAAAACATAACCATAAATCACGACCTTGGATTTGGCAAAGGACTCTTACATATATATGACACCAAAATCATGCACAACAAAAGAAAAAACAGCACACATTAAAAAGGTAAACACAAACTTTAAAAAGAAAGAAATTAGACTTCATTAAAACTAAAAACTTTCATGTTGCAAAGGACACCATCAAGAAAGTGAAAAGAGAACCCACGCAATGGAAGAAAATATTTACAAATCATATACCCGATAAGGGACTTGTACCTAGAATATATAATGAAGGCACACATGGCAGTAGTGAAAAAGAAAAACAACACACACACACACACACAAACTAGCAAAGGATCTGAATAGACATTTCTCCAAAGATTCAGAAATGGCCAATAAGCGCATAAAAAGACGTCAGACACCACTAGTTATTAGGAAAATGCAAATCATAACCATAAAGAGATACCACTTCACATCCACTAGAATGATTAGAATCACAAAATCAGAAAAGTATTGGCAAAGATATAGACACATCAGAACTCTTTGTGTGCTGTTGGTGGGAATATAAAATGGAACAGTTGCTTTGTAACACAGTCTGGCAGTTCCTCAGAGGTTAAATGTAAAGTTACCACATGGCCCAGCAATGCCATTCCTAGGTATATAACCAAGAAAAATCAAATGCATGTGTCCACACAAAAACTTGTATACAAATGTCCACAGCTGCATTGTTTACAATGGCTAAAAGGTGGAAACAATCCAAGTTGTCTGTAATGATGAATGGAACAGATGAATGGACATGGTCTATGGATACAATGGAATACTATTCAGCCATAAAAAGGAATAAAATATTGATACATACTAAAACCTGGATGAACTTGAAACATTAACCAAAAAAAACAGGCACAAAAGATGGGATACTATAATTCCATTGAAAAGTTCAGAATAAGGAAATCTATGAGAGATAGAAAGACTAGTGGTAACTTAGGACTCAGGGGTTGGGAGTAGAGAATAGGGGAGGCGATATCTAAAGGGTATGGTGTTTCTTTTGGGGGTGATGAAAATGTTCTAAATTTGACTGGTGGTGATAGTTGCACCTGTCTGTAAATATACTAAAACCACTACGTGTACACTTGAAATGGGTAAATAGTATATATGTGACGTATATCTCAATAAAGCTATTAAAATTTTTTAAATATTTTTTAAAGTAATTCAGCCACTCACTTAATAAAAGAACACTGGGCATTTGAGATTTGACACACCAGTGTAATCTGTACGCCTCTGACAATGGTCCAGGCCCATGTGTGAAGTCCATCCCTCTGTCTCCTGGGAAGTAGTCAGCAAACTGAAGCCAGCCAGGAGAGCTGAGTCTGTGTGGACTCAGCACAGCCCCAGGCCATCTGGCTCAAATCCCTCATACAGATCAACGCCCACTTTTCTCTGCCCCATTGTCCACACAGCCAGGGCCAGTATTACTTTGCACAAACTTCTGCGGTGTCTCCAGATAACCATTGCTCAAAGCTCAAAACTAGGAAGTAACCCTGACCACCCAGCCTTCCTTACCTGATCATTATCTGTTTCTTGAACAAAAAATGCTTCTCCATTATCTCCCAATTTCATGTGCAAATCCACAGATTCCCCATTGATTTCTATGTCAACCTGAGGGGAAAAGATGGTTAAGAAAAGAATGAGCTGCCTTCACCAGAACAGGAGACCTCATGGAGAGAGCCAAGTCTCTGTGGATACGCTGTCGTCACATATACCCTGAAGTGCCGCACAACTCCCAGTCTCAGTCAGGCGGTCCCATCCAAGGGAACGGTCACTTGAGCACTGGAGGAGTTCTGGGTTTGGGACGGCAGGCCCGTGACCAGGAAAGAAGGAACCCAAAGCAGTAGGTTGGTGCAAAAATAATTGCGGTTTTGGCCATCATTATAATTATTAAAAATAGTGGCAAAAACTGCAGTTATTTCTGTAGTAAGCTAATAGAAAGATTCCTCTGAGACCACCTGGTCTAGCTCCTCCTTTTTTGGCTGAGGAGCTAGGCCAGACAAGAGGAGTGACCAGACCAGGGTCACACGGCTGGTGAGAGTTCAAGCTGCAATCAAAGCTTCCCCAGCCCCAGACATTAGAAATTACACCCTGGAAAACTCACCAACTATTGGCTGGGATCCTTCACCCATACTCAGGGAAGAGCTTCCACTTGAACTTAACTCAAAGAACGAATCATGAGACATCATCCCAAAATCCACATTAGGTGGGGGCATGAAATGTCTATTTGTAAATATTTGTTTCTTTCCATTTGTGTGGCAGATTGTCTTCTAAAACTGGCCACATCAATATCCCGGTCCTACCTGCTCTTCCAGAACCTTTGCCACTCCTGAAAATAAACTAGAAATAAAACTCTAAGCTCACAACTGACTGAATGGACCCCCTCTCGGTCAAGGAGATGCCAGGGAAACCTTGAGAACTGAGTTCAAGGCCATGATGGAATGCCAGATAGGACATGCTTCCTCATACCCCACCTCAGTAACCGCCATTTCAAAAGGGCCAAACAGAAACCAGCCCTTTCAAAAGACTCTGCACTGGTATCAGCAAAAGAAGTGGCTCTGCCTTTTTTTTTTTTTTTTTTTTCTTGGGCCTGATAAGAGCCCAGGAACTAGTCCTGACCCATCTAGGGAGAATGTGCCCTGAGGGTTTTCCCTTCCTCTGCTCCACCCTTTGATGTCAGACACCAGAAAACTCCACCCTTGGCTGGTGCTAGTGCCATCATGTTTTGAACATGGGTCCCATGGAGAGGCATGAAGCTCAGCTGCACATGTGCATGTTTTCCTCTCCTGAACACTCGTGACCCCCGTCCTGTGGCTTATTAAATATGTAGATTCTGTGATCCCAGAAATCCCTGGTCTCTTTGCCCCTCCTTCAAAGCATCTGTTTCTGCTTCTGGCGGGAGGCTACACTTCCCAGCCTGTCAGAATTGGCCACCCAGCAGGCAAAGCAACGACCTAGTTCTCTCCAAATGTATGAACTTTATCCTTCTTCCATTGACACCACCAAGAAAAGCCTATTTCTCCTCCCCTTGAGCCCAGGCAGGCTTGTGATGGTCCCAACCAGTAGAGCACAGCAGAGGTGATGCCATGTGGCTTGCAAGGCTAGGCCATAAGAAGATCCAGCATCTGCCTGGCTTCCTCCCTCTCAAGATGCTCACCTCACCACTGCCACTGTGTTATGGGGTGCCCTGGCCACGTGGAGAGGCCATGGGTAGTTGGTATGACCAACAGCCTCAGCAAAGAGCCCAGCCAAGAGCCAGAATCAACCATCGGTCACAAAGAATGTGAGTGTTCAGATGATTCCAGCCCTCAGCCTTTGACCTTTCCAGCTAAGGCCCCAGAGAGCAGAGAAAAACCATCTCACTGTGCTCTGCCTGAATTCCTGACCCACAGATACAGGAGCTTAATAAACAGTGGTGTGTGCCACGGCACTTTAATTTACACAGCCATGCTAACTAGAATAATTTCAATTAGTCACTGTCAGTTCCATGACTGACCATTTCCAACGGAGACCTGAAACTCTGGGTCTGAGAGTACAAGACAGGTGGCATCACCAGAGTGCAAGGGCATTCTCTAAGGAGAGCCAGTGCCAGGTCCCCGTGCCCTGAGAGCTCACCACTTTCTCTCGGGAGCGCAGGACGCCCATCTTCCCAAAGCGGACGTGGAAAGGGGAGCATTGGAGGTTTCCATTGGGCTGGCGGATGACAATGATGTCAATGCACCCCGAGAGCGTGGCGGGGTTCAGCCCCTTGTAGAGCTCCTTCACGGTGACAAACACCTGGCCGGCTAACTGCCCCACGTAATTCATGGTCTGTGCCTGGAAAACAGACAAAAAACACACACACAGACACACAATTAATCAAAGGAAGAGCCAATCAAAACGAACTACTCACCATTTTAAAAACATAGATTACACACTCAACTTTCAGCTCATCTCGTTTCTGGAATATGCTCCGTCCACCCCCATGGCCCATCCGGGTCCATCATGGCCCATTACAGCCCATCAGGGCCCATCACGGCCCATCACGGCCCATCACGGCCCACCAGGGTTCATCACAGCCCATCACGGCCCATCAGGGTCCATCACACTCCATCACGGCCCATCATGGCCCATCACGGCCCATCATGGCCCATCACGGCCCATCAGGGTCCATCACGGCCCATCATGGCCCATCACGGCCCATCATGGCCCATCACGGCCCATCACCCCAACTCCCACAGCAAGCCCACCAGTCTCTACTCTGCCAGAGTCCAGCACAGACAGCCTTGACCCCATGACATCTAATCTCAGTTGTCCCGGGCCCTGTCTCCTCTGCAGTCCCATGAAGCTTGTTTATATTGTCCTTAGGACCACTGCCACCTGCCCCTTCTTCTGTCATGATGGACAGGTTTTGCACACTAAATCTCAAGACTGTAGAGGAAAGAGACTATTTCATACAGCTTAGGATCCCCCACCATGCCAATCACAGTAGCTACTTGATATTAGTTGAAAAACAAATGACTGTTTTTACTGGAGAAGGGAAATGAAGGATTTTTGTTTGTGACAATCTCCATGTGGCCTTTGCCTGTGTGTCTGACTTCTCTCCACTGCTCTCCAGCGCAGGGAACACCAGCGCTCTGGGCTGCTGGCCGGCTATCAACTACAATCCACTCAGCAAACATTCAGGCCATCTCCTCTACAGGGCCTGGGGCCACAACACAGAGATAAAGAAGAAAGTCCTGTCCCCTGGAGGGACTCACAGGCTCGTGAAGGAAACAGAGGTAATATACAAGGAACTAGCAGGGCATAGTAGCTCATGCCTATAATCCCAGCACTTTGGGAGAATGAGACAGGTACATGGCTTGAGCCCAGGAGTTTGAGATCAGCCTGAACAACATGGCAAAATCCCATCTCTACTAAAAACACAAAAATTAGCTGTGCGTGGTGGTGCGTACCTGTAGTCCCAGCTACTTGAGAGGCTGAGGTAGGAGGATCACTTGAACCCAGGAGGTGGAGGTTGCAGTGAGCTGAGTGTGACTGGAGTGCAGTAGCACGCACGCGCACACACACACGCACACACAAACTAAAATAAATATCAGTGTCGCTGAATTTGTTTTAAGTAAACACTAAGGGAGTTATGATCAAGGAAAGAAGGTGCATCAGAGGAGCTGGCGCTGGAGGCGGGCTTGGAGGAGGACATCTCAGATGTCAGATGAGAAGGTGGACAGGGTACTGCGGGACAGTGAGAGGTTCATGCAGAAGCATGGAAGCTTAAACTACCAGACTGGAAGAGGGAGCTGTGCCCAGAACAGAGAATGTGCAGAAGGGAAGGATGGAGAGTGGGAAACCGTGCCAGGAGATGCGGGTTCTGCTGTGTGAGGCCATCCGATTCTGGAACAAAATGACACTTTGATTCAAGATTTAGCAAAAGCATCACCATAACAATGTAAAGACTGGCAAGAAAAAAACTTGATGGCAGGAAGGCTAGGAGAGAAATGATTTCCCGCCTGGAAAGGAGGTAGAGACAGAAGAAACAAGAGGGATAGGGACAGGTCAAGAGATATTCTGGGTTCAAGGCAGCTGGACTGCGAGCCACCACTGTGCTCTGGCCTTCTTTTCGTAGCTCCGGATCCCTGACCACCTGGTGCAGTCCACGCCTGCCCACATCACTGTCCACTCTACTCAGCTCTCAGCTCCCATCCTTCTGCCGTCACTGTGCCCTGCTGTCCTAACCGCTGGTCTTGACTGGCCCATGGCAGTCACATCTTATCCCTGGACTGGGTCATGGCAGGCAGGAGTCCTCCAGCCCTCCTCTCTCCACTCCTTGCTCAGCTTCGAGGGTCACACCATCAACCCTCCTCTGGCCCTTCAGGGACGTGGCACCTCCTGGTGGTTGTCCAGTCTCGGGAGTCTCTTCTTTCCAGCTCTGACTTATACTCCAAGGCTGAGTCCCAGACTCTCTTCTCCTCTCCCATTTATTCACCTGATGCTTTGGTGGATTCGTGAAGCCACGTGGTTGCAAATACCGCCCCAACAGGAAGGATTTGCACGACGTAACGTCCAGTCCACCCCGAGACCTCACCCCTCCTCCTGGTCCACACTGCTGCCATTCTTCAAGGCGACTATCCCAGGACACATGTGACCACACAGACAACACTCCCACCTCAGCTCACCTACAGACTCCAGGAAACACCACGTGTGTGAACCTGTGGCTCACAAACCTGCCGTGTAGACAGGTTGGTTCTGGGAGCTTTTCCTACCATTCAGTGGCGCCGTGATATTATGATGTAAAAGGAAATATATATTTTGGTCTTCATCCCCAGATCCCAGCCAGAACTCCTAAACCCCTTATAATTTCTAGGAATGTCTTTTGTTATGATATTTCGCTTTCTTCCCCTGCTCCTGAAACAGCCCCTTAGCTCCAGAGCTTTATTGCTCTGGTGAAAGGAGCGTCTTTCCTCACTCAAGATAAGCCCCCTTGGACCACACCAAAGTTTAATCAGAGGACTCTCGGAGGATGGGGGCTGGGCCAGCTGCCAGAGGAACTATCTGTGATAAGCGTTGGTGCCTTCAGCCACTCCCCACCCCCCACCGCATCCCCAACCTCCAGGGAGGGGGAGGGGAGGGAGATTAAGTGTAATCAATGGCCGATGAGTGAATCAATCTCGCCTGTGTAATGAAGCCTCCATAGAACCCGAAAGAAAGGGGCTCAGAGAGCTTCCGGGTTGGCGAACGTGTGGCAGTGCTGGGAGGCTGGGGTGCTGGAGAGGGCATGGAAGCACCACTGCCACCCCACCACCCTGCCCTGTGCACCCTTCCACCCTTCCACCTGGCTGCTCCGGAGTTTTATCCTTTACAACAAACCAGTGGCGATCAGTAAACTGTTTCCCTGAGTTCCGTGAGCCGATTCACAAAGGAATGAACCCAAGGAGGTGGTCATGGGAACCCCTGATTTATAGCCAGTCAGGCAGACGCACAGGAGGCCCAGACTGACTGGCATCTGAAGTGAGGGACAGCTTGTGGGGATGAGCCCTTAGCCTGTGGAATCTGATGCTAACTCCAGGTAGACGGTGTCTGGAATGAATTCAATTATAGGCACCCCGTTGGTGTGCTCGAGAGCTGGAGAACTGCTTGGTGTGGAAGAGACACACACAGGTTTGGTGTCAGAAGTGTGTATGAGAGTAGAGGAAATTGTATGGTTTGTTTGTTCTTTTATGAGCTACATTCTTAAGGCCAAGGATAAAGCTTTGGTCTTTCAAGTTAAAAAAACAAAATATACCTTTTGTATATCTTACCCCAACTCCTATGAAATAAGCAAAAGTGAGATCAGCACACCCATTTGCAAATGACGCTCAGAAGTGGTCAAATCCCCTGCATGCAGGGGCTAGTAAGAACTGTGGATTTAATTCTAATTTAGAACAGGCCAGAGAACCGAAAGTCATGAATGATACCTACAAAGGAAAGAATGCAAGAAGCCCTCCCCGGTGCATCTTACAATTTTAAATGAAGCTCTCTGCACTGATACACCTCCTCTCTCAACGGAGGACACAAGCCCAGCCCTTAGCAAACACACTCAGGGAGGAACACACATCTGCCTTCCTTTTCACCTGGGGGTAAACGCCAGAGCCCAGCTCCCCCTTCATCTGTCCTGCTAATATGTCACATATATATAAACATCAAAACACACATTTCTCTAAGTTTACGAGTGGTGCGGGTTTAACTTCATGCAAAAAAGGTGCGGTGGGATGCTTCCTGAAAAGATGTACAATATAAGAAATGATTCTTTATAACCCTGATACTTCTTATTCCTTCCATGTTGAACTTAGATTTTAACATGTGTTTGGTAAGAGAGGTAACCCTCTAACTCTAAAACTACGTGCAAGCAGTATTAATAACATCTTTGTACAATTTCTTTCACATACATTATCTCCTGCTGACTCTCACGATACCCTGTAGGAATGCAGCCTTTCAGATGGTAAAACCAGAAGACAGCCAAAGTGCAATGAAGATTGCAGGGCTGGTGAAGAGAGGCTGTCTGGACTGACACGCCCAGTTTCACCAGACTGGAATCCAGGTCTTTGGATTTTGAAGTGACCTCTCTTTCGGTTCTGTGAAGCCCCTTCTCATGTTCCCCATCTCTTTGCCTTCATCACCCTTGCAGGTGAGCTGTTTGTCACCGAATGAGACCAACTCCCCAGCAGTGAGGCCCCAACCCCAGGCCAGCACATCTAAGAACTACTGTTGATACTTTTTTACTCGTAAGAAAGAGAAAGCTCATAACTGGATAGCATTACCACATCTCTGCATCCTAGCCTCTCCTCTGCAAAGGGGGGCATGTTGGCCTGGGTGACGTGCAAGGTCTAATTCCAGCTCTATCTGTTCCAAGACAAAGGCTGCACTCCTTAGTTCTTAGCAACTGAAGAGGCATCTTTAATAATTTAATTGTTGCTCTGCTCTCTTGTTCTCAAGAACAAGCATCCTTGCCCCTCTTCAGTGAGCAAACTCAAGGTTACTGCTCAGAATCCAAGAATTTGGAAGCGAGAAGGATCCTTAGTTGTTGTTCCAACAACCTCATTTTTTAAAAGTAAGCCCAGAAATGGGAAGTGACTTAGCAAAGCTCTCTCCATGGCAAAGACAGAGCCAAGACTCCAATTTCCTCTGTGACCTTCCCACTGGATTGGTCTGGAGTATTTTCCTACCACAAATAACCAGAAGGTGCTTTGATATCCCCAGCTGTGGCTTTAGCTTAGATTAATGGTGCTGTGATATCTTTAGCAGTCCCCCCTATTGAATAACTTCTTTGCAAATCTGAAAATACCTCAATTTGAAAGCAGGAA